CTAAAACCAGTTGAAAAATCCTGGCAGCCTGCAGATCTTCTACCGGATTCGGCGTCGGACGGATTCGTAGAACAAGTGAAAGAATTGAGGGAGAGAGTAAAGGAAATTCCTGACGATTATTTGGTTGCTATAGTTGGCAATATGGTCACAGAAGAAGCCCTTCCAATGTATCAGTCAAGAGTTAGTAGCACAGAAATTTATCGTGATGAAACCGGCAGAGATGACACTCCATGGGCTATTTGGAGTAGAGGTTGGAGTGCTGAAGAGAATCGCCATGGAGATCTTCTCAATAAGTATCTCTATCTTTCAGGAAGAATTGACATCAAACAAGTGGAGAAGACTATTCAGTATATGATTGCTTCAGGAACGGTAAGATCCATGCAAAAAAATGCGTCTTTTTCTTTGGTATAAACTTCATGTGGGTTTTAAAAATTGCAGGACGTCAGCATTATAAAATTTTCGATGGGATCCTGTCACCGTTCAAGGGTGAAACTAGAATTTTTTTTTCAGGGGGCTGTAAATTATTTGAGTATATATTAAACAATTATAATTTCTAATAATAGAAAAATTGTATTAATAAAAAGGGAAAAGTAATGAAGATATAGTACTGTTTGATAAATATGTCATTTTCTCTTGTAAAATCTCTGTCTAGATTTTAAAAATTTTAAGACATCAGTATTTGGAAATTTTCACTGGGATCCTATCACCTTTACAAAATTAGATCAAAATTATCTTCGTTACTATGTAAATTTGCAATTTTATTTTTCCTATTTTTTGTGACAGGATTTTGGCTTTGGAGACAACCCTTATCATTTCTCTGTTTATACATCAGTACAAGAAAGAGCAACATTTATAGCTCATGGCAACACAGCCAAACTTGCCCTGCAACATGGAGACTCAAAGCTAGCTCAAATCTGTGGCACAATCGCTTCCGATGAGAAGCGCCATGAAACTGCTTATAGCAGGATTGTCAAGAAGCTGTTCGAGCTTGATCCTACCGAAGCAATGGTGGCGTTTGCCGACATGTTGAGAATTAGAATGATCATGCCTGGCCATTCAATGTACGATGGTAAAGATGAGCAGTTGTTCGATCATGTTTCGAATGTTTTAATGCGAATTGGAGTGTACACAACCACAGATTATATTAATGTTTTGGAACATTTTGTGGGTATTTGGAATATCGAGAAACTTGAGGGGCTTAGAAGTGAGGGAAAAATTGCTCAGGATTATGTCTGTGGATTACCGGAAAGGCTGAGAAAAATGGAAGAGAGAGCTCTAGCTAGGGCTAAACAAGCACCTGCAATTTCATTCAGCTGGGTTTTTGACAGAGAAGTTTAACTAAATTAAGAGTTGATGAAGTTGATTAAAATTACTAAATTTGGGAAGTGCAAGAAAATAAGCATTTGACGGCACTTCAGCTATTTTTGGCTTTAGATGAATGTAATTTAGATCAGCACTTCTGCTGTATTTGACTTTATATGAATTATGATTTATATTGCTATGATTAAGGGTGTTCAAAAAAATGCAGAAACCAAACCAAATTAGTTTGGCTTCAGTTCAAGGAAACTAATACATAAACCGGAAATTCGGTTCAATTACCGGTTTAAAGAAATTTAAAAGCCAGTTAATCAGAACTGATTTATAAAATCGGTTTTCACTTTAAAATTAAAAAAACCCTAAATCTGCAAATCATTTTCTCTTTACTCATCACCCTTTGCACATTTATTCTCTTTTTGTTTTTTCACACAAACACACATTTCTTCTCAATCCTCACCGATTTTCACTTTTCTCTTCCCTCTCAAAATAAAAAAATAAGTTAAATTAGGAAAATATCAAAATAAAAAATAAGTTAAAAGAGAAAATCGGCTCAAAAACAGTTAACTAGTTAACAGTTAACCAGTTTTTGTTAACTAGTTAACTGGTTTAGTTTCCAGTCAGAGAATTGCTATACACAATGATCTTAGCTTTAGTATAAGTAAGTTTAGACCCAGAGGTTTAAATAAATAATATTACAATCCCAAATTAAAATAAAATGTTAGAGTATAGTCATGACATCTTCATCCATAAGGTAATTGTTGTTAGCCTAATCGGGTAAAGTAGGAAATTGCATCTTTTATAATTTATGTTTATTTTGTTTAACATATTTTATTTTATTTTCTTAATTTTATTATTTGCAACTTTTGTATTATTATTTTTTAAATATTATATCATTAAAAAGTATTATAATATAGAATTAATTTTCTCTGATTTAAACACATATTATTTTAATTTTGTTGGATAAAAAATATATATTTTTATGAACATTTTAAGGATCTTTTTATTGTTTTAGTGATTGGGTAGGTTTGAAATATTGTTTTAGTGAACAAATTTAATGAAATAATTAATAAAATCCTTATTATCATTTTTTTAATTGAGTGATTATTTATATCTTATTGGTTGAATATTAAATTACTCTTTCCAATAATATCATTAATATTTTTATCCATAAACAAACTTGTCAAGTCTCAATATATGTTTATCATATCCAAATTAAAATTAAAAGCTTAGCCACCTTGCTAAAATATTATATAGAGTTTTATATCCATTGATATCCATATTGTTAATTAATTCTTATTAATTAATTATTATCTCCCTTTGATGCTCCTTCGTGCATGTTATAATCATATTATTTAATAAATACTTAATACAATTTGGCTCAGGTTTTTGGAGTTGAAAAGTAAATAAAAAACCAATTCGCTTAAATTTTAATTCACTCCAATTTAGTTCAATTTTGCATTTTAGTATCTTAAAACTCGAATTAAACCACTTGGTTTAGTTTCGGTTTTTGGGTTTGGCTTGGGTTAACGCACGCCAAGCTAACCACTTGACTATGGTCGGATGACAAGATTTTAGATTCCCATAAGTAGTAGCGGATCTAAAAATTTCTCTTAGAGTGAGCTAAAATAAAAACTAATTGAACATTAATATTTTTATTAGGATGGGCCAAAATCTAAAAATTATATATATTATATTTTTTTTTAAAAAAATAAGGGTGGGTAAAAACTAGGCTGGATTCGTCCCTACCCATAAGTCTTGTGTTTAATTCTCATCAAGTGATCACCTATTGTGTACGATTCTTATCAAATAACCACCTATTACATTTATAACTTATTTGACCTGAATTGGCCACCAAAAAACACACCCCTAATACCTGTCATGATAATGCAGTTGATAATAATAAATAACCAGATTCTGCTCTTCCTTCGATTTTCAAAGGGTATTAATTGTTCATAAAGTTTGGTCATGTAATAAATATTGCTGTCTTAAAAAAAGACAAAATAATACAATGTTGGAATTGGACAATGTTATTTATAAACTTGAAGGCTTAATTATCATCATGATCATGTGTAGCTTTCAATCAATTCTTTCATCACTTGAACTTTCTTTAAAATGGAAACAACTAGTCATAGCTTCTCCAAGTTTTTCATGGCTTCCACCCACCCCAATTCTGGTTTAATGTGAGTTCATCTCTATTATTATTATTATTATTTTCATTTTAAAAAAAAAAAATGTTTTTACGTATTATTCAGGGGCGTAATCAAGATTTTATGTTAGTTTGGACTAAATTAAAATTTATTTTTAACAAAATGCTTATGGGTGTTGTACTAAATACAGCTTTATAGTTTAACAAAGAACATAATATCATTTATATAAATAATAATAAGTAGGACATACCTAAAAACCAATATTAATGGAGTGTTGCATAATAAATTTAATTAATTTAACAATGTTTCACGAAGTGAAACTAAGTTTATTGATTTTTGTTGTTATGTAAAAATAATAATAATAGCTATCAAATGAAAGATGACTTATGATAAAAAGTCATTTATATTACAAAAAAAGAAAAAAAGAAAAAAGATCAGAATTCTCTCCTAGCAGAGTTTTTTATTTAAACAAAGAAATTAATTAATCCTTCAAAGTTTATACAAGTTGGTATATTATTTTATACTTATTCGATATCAAATTCAATAGAAAGGCAAATCTGAAGAAGCTGTCACATTCCAAATCCATAGCCTCGGAAAAGGTTGAATTATTCAAATCAATAGAAAATTAGGAAAGAGATAGCATTTTGCCTCTACTAAATTAGGTTACTATAATCTTATCCAAAAACTTTGAAATTAAAAGAACAGTGCTTCCAAATTTAAAAGAAGTGAGGCTTAGATATATTATATATCCGAAAACCATAATCTTATCTCCCAAAAGATGAACCATGAGTCGGATAAAAACAATGATATAATTAATTTAAAATTTAAAATTGTTAAATAAGTGAAGCATACGACGTCGTTTAAACCAGGAAACAAAACGCTGTCGTTTTGTCCATCATTCCAAATGAATCACAGCCGTCAAAGATAAAGAGAATCCAACGGCTCAAATGCAATCAGCAATCAACAGTATAAAAGGGGACTATTCACGCATTTGAGGGCAATCGAGTTTTAGGGTATTCGTTTCGTTTCTCTGAAAAATTCGTTTGGTCTGGATTAGGGTTTCATGCTCATTCTGGGTTTCTTCTTTGTGTGAATCTTTCTAGAGTTGTGTTTGAGGGCAGGGGTTCCTTGAAGGGTATAGAACACTCTAGGGTTTATTAGGATTTGCGGGATACAGGGAAGTGAATGAGTGTTTGATTCTGTGAGTGACAGTGAAGAAGATTCTTCTGTAAAGTGTAATCTTTGAGGAAATCAATACTAGTGCAGCGAGCTCCATATTCTGGAGTTCAACGTGGATGTAATTGTTTCTATATTGAACAAGCGAACCACGGTATATCTTGTGTTGTGTGATTGTGCGTTGTTCTTGCAGTTTCTGTTTTGTATTGTGACTAATCTTACAGGTTGAAGGATTGGTATGATTTACACATAAATTAAACCTTATCTAATCATATTTAATTTGCTCTATATAATCTCACAACACCACCATCAAAAATCACTCTACTCAAGCTAATAAAATTTCAGTTTTTGTATTTAACCATGAAGGGAACTTTCATCGCCATCTTGTTCATCCTTTTTGCTTATCTGGAGTCAGTGCCTCAGAGTCAATGCGGTTGATGCAGTCACAATTTCCTTTAACGTATTTCATGTTTAAAAGATTATATTATTTGATAATTCTTTTTATCTATACCAATGAAATCAAATTTTGTTACAAATAGGTATATATATTTTTTAAACTTCTTATATTTGAAATTGAAACCTCTCACTGAAGTTTCAAAACTTGTGACAAATTACATGAAGTTTTTAATAAAGCACTGAATAAAGTAAACATAAAATCAAGACAATTTTATGATAGTAATTTAATGAAAAACGTATATTAAATATTTAATTACATATTAATATGGTTAAATCTTATTGACTTAACTAGTATAAATTCAATCATCAAGATAAAAGGAGGGATAAGCCATGATTTTGATTGAATTTTAATCTGCCATACCAACAATAAATTTAATTGGGTTTTATCAAACTTGTTAATTTCGAATTGATGAAATCCTTAATTTTCTTTTTCTTATAAACACTCGATATGGATTTAAAATAAAAAATAAAATAAGACGTCTCATTTGAACAAATTCAGATTTTTTTTTTTCAAGAGGGCTGAAAATTATTTCAAGTAATTAAAACAATTATCAATCTTGATGATTAAAAAAAAAAAAAATGTATTAATGAAAATTACATTTGGTACGATGCAACTTTTCCCAAAAAAAAAAAAAAATTATATTTTTTCTGCAGGATTTTGGCTTTGGAGGCAACCATTATCATTTTACATTTTATACATTAGTGCAAGAAAGAGCAACATTCATAACTCGATGGCAAAACAGCAAACTTGCCCCGCAACATAGAGAGCCACAGCTAGCTCAATTGCTCAAATCTATGGCACAATCGCGTCTGATGAAAACCGCCGCAAAACCACTTATAGCAGGATTGTTGGGAAGCTCTTCGAGCTCGAACCTATAGAAGCAATGGAGGAAAGAGCCCTAGGGCTAACCAAGCACCTACAATTCCATTCAGCTGGGTTCTTAAAAGAGAAGTGTAGCTAAATTATGAACGGAATAGAGACTAATACGACATCAAGATAACAGTAAACACACAAACACAAACAGTAATGAGAAAAAGTAATATGCGTGATTTACTTTGGTTCACCCAATTAACAGGCTACGTCTAGCTAGCAGAGTTAATATTATTTCAATATTACCTCATCTCTCTCGTTTATAATAAATGAATTTATCATATTGTTTACTATCACTCATTACAAGAGAAAATAATGTTCATATACTAGATTTAAAAGACTAAAACCTAATATTATAAGGATCTCTATTCCTAAGCCCAAACCTAATAAGAAACTAATAACTTAAAGAAATTCGTCAACTATTATATATGAAAAAAACCTAAACTACCTACAGACAGGGGGCATTGCATGACTCATTAATACTAAAGTAGTCCACAATTCTAACAAATTACGAGTTGATGAAGTAAATTAAAATTACTACAATAGGTAAAGAGGTACACATTTTCGTGTTGGTTTTAAAGAGTCTAAAAGCCGATTGAGGTTTTGTCTTTTTTCGTGGAAAGGTTGACTCATCATTAAAGTTTGTCTCTATTCTTGTGAATTACTATAGTTGAGCTTCTTCCTTTATCCATATACCTTATTTAAAAATTTGTATTTGTGTGTGCTTGTAGTTTGTTGCATTCATGTTCTTGAAATAATTATTTTGTTTTGCTAAAACCTAGGGAGTAAAAATGAAATTTAGTGAGTGAAAGGCTGCATTAATTCTCGGTAAGTCTTGCTTAGTCCAAACTCTAGTAATTTTCAGTATACCTTTGGCGGCATTTTGTATATTACCGAGGGCATCTTGACTTTGGGAAAAGAATATCATTTCCAAGCGCATATCCATTCCAAGGAAAAAGTGCCTTTGCAAATGACAATTTCCTTCGGCATCTGATGCCTTTGGATAAAGCTAATTTTGTTGTAGTGTGTATATTATTTATAAACAGAGAAGAGAGCAAAGAACTTGTCAATTACATTGGTTTCAATATAAACTTGAAGGCTTAATTATCATCACCATGTGTAGCTTTCAATCAATTCCTTCAATACTTGCAACTTTCCCCAAAATGGCAACAACTCCTCCAAGCTTTTCCAAGTTTTTCATGGCTTCCACCCACGTCAATTCTGGTTCTAAGTGAGTTCATCCATCATTTTTTTTTCCGATTTTTTAAATTGCTTTTACGTATTATCCAGGGACGTAGCCAGGATTTTATGTTAATCTAGGATAAATTGAAGTTTACTTTTGTTGATGCTGTTTTTCGGCACCAACCAATTGTCACGTGGGTTTTGCTCTTTGATGAATTAACGCACGTGATAATGGGTATATGAAATGAAATAAATGCTAGGAAAACTTTTAAAGTGGTTCGGATGCTAAGGTAGCAAGTCCTACATCCACTGAGTTGTATTGATTTTAGTGTTGGTCAGGTCGCTAAAGCGTACTGACGTACAAAAAGTTATGAAAAGTGAGCTACTCTTCTCTTTTTTACAAGTGAGAGAGTTGTTTTTTGGTAATGAATGAACCAACCCCCTTAATGGTGAGGTTTTCTAATGCGTCTTTTTCTTTGGTATAACTTCATGTGGTTTTTAAAAATTGCAGGACGTCCAGCATTATAAAATTTTCGATGGGATCCTGTCACCGTTCAAGGGTGAAACTAGAATTTTTTTTTCAGGGGGCTGTAATTATTTGAGTATATTTAAACAATCATAATTTCTAATATAGAAAAATTGTATTAATAAAAGGGAAAAGGAATGAAGATATAGTACTGTTTGATAAATATGTCATTTTCTCTTGTAAAATCTCTGTCTAGATTTAAAAATTTTAAGACATCATTATTTGGAAATTTTCACTGGGATCCTATCACCTTTACAAAATTAGATCAAAATTATCTTCGTTACTATGTAAATTTGCAATTTTATTTTTCCTATTTTTTGTGACAGGATTTTGGCTTTGGAGACAACCCTTATCATTTCTCTGTTTATACATCAGTACAAGAAAGAGCAACATTTATACTCATGGCACACAGCCAAACTTGCCCTGCAACATGGGACTCAAAGCTAGCTCAAATCTGTGGCACAATCGCTTCCGATGAGAAGCGCCATGAAACTGCTTATACAGATTGTCAAGAAGCTGTTCGAGCTTGATCCTACCGAAGCAATGGTGGCGTTTGCCGACATGTTAGAATTAGAATGATCATGCCTGGCCATTCAATGTACGAGGGTAAAGATGAGCTTGTTCGATCATGTTTCGAATGTTTTAATGCGAATTGGAGTGTACACAACCACAGATTATATAATTTTTTTGAACATTTTGTGGGTATTTGGAATATCGAGAAACTTGAGGGGCTTAAAAGTGACGGAAAAATTGTTCAGGATTATGTCTGTGGATTACCAAAAGGCTGAGAAAATGAAGAGAGAGCTCTAGCTAGGCTACACAACACCTGCAATTTCATTCAGCTGGGTTTTTGACAGAGAAGTTTAACTAAATTAAGAGTTGATGAAGTTGATTAAAATTACTAAATTAGGGAAGTACAAGAAAATAAGCATTTGACGGCACTTCAGCTATTTTTGGCTTTAGATGAATTGTATTTAGATCAGCACTTCTGCTGTATTTGACTTCATATGAATTATGATTTATATTGCTATGATTAAGGGTGTCCAAAAAAACAAAAACCAAACCAAATTAGTTTGGTTCAGTTCAAGGAAACTAATACATAAACCAGAAATTCGGTTCAATTACCGGTTTAAAAAAATTTAAAAGCCATTTAATCGGAACTGATTTATAAAATCGGTTTTCACTTTAAATTAAAAAAACCCTAAATCTGCAAATCATTTTCTCTTTACTCTCACCCTTTGCACATTTTTCTCTTTTTTTTTTTCACACAAACACACATTTCTTCTCAGTCTTCACCGATTTTCACTTTTCTCTTCTCTCTCAAATAAAAAAAATAAGTTAAATTAGGAAAATATCAAAATAAAAAATAATTTAAAGAAAAATCGTTTTAAAAACAGTTAACCAGTTTTTATTAACTAGTTAACTGGTTTAGTTTCCAGTCAGAGAATTGCTATACACAATAATCTTAGCTTTAGTATAAGTAGTTTAGACCCAGAGGTTTAAATAATATTACAATCCCAAATTAAAATAAAATGTTAGAGTATAGTCATGACATCTTCATCCAAAGGTAATTGTTGTTAGCCTAATCGGGTAAAGTAGGAAATTGCATCTTTTATATTTATGTTTATTTTGTTTAACATATTTTATTTTATTTTCTTAATTTTATTATTTGCATCTTTTGTATTATTATTTTTTAATATTATATCATTAAAAAGTATTATAATATAGAATAATTTTCTCTGATTTAAACACATATTATTTAATTTTGTTGGATAAAAAAAAAATATTTTATGAACATTTTAAGGATCTTTTTATTGTTTTAGTGATTGGGTAGGTTTGAAATATTGTTTTAGCGAACATTTAATGAAATAATTAATAAATCCTTATTATCATTTTTTTAATTGAGTGATTATTTATATCTTATTGTTGAATATTAATTACTCTTCCATAATATCATTATTTTTTATCCATAAATTAACTTGTCAAGTCTCAATATATGTTATCATCCTCCAAATTAAATTAAAGCTTAGCCCCTTGCTAATATTATATAGATATTTATATCCTTGATATCCTATTTGTTAATTAATTCTTATTAATTAATTATTATCTCCCTTTGATGCTCCTTCGTGCATGTTATAATCATATTATTTAATATACTTAATACAATTTGGCTCAGGTTTTTGGAGTTGAAAAGTAAATCAAAAACCAATTCGCTTAAATTTTAATTCACTCCAATTTAGTTCAATTTTGCATTTTAGTATCTTAAAACTCGAATTAAACCACTTGGTTTAGTTTGGGTTTTTGGGTTTAGCTTGGGTTAACGCACCCCAAGCTAACCACTTGGTTGTGGTCGGATGACAAGATTTTAGATTCCCATAAGTATTAGATCTAAAATTTTCTCTTAGAGTGAGCCAAAATAAAAACTAATTGAACATTTATTTTTATCTATTTATATTTTTGTTGGTTGGCTAAAATCCAAATTATATATATTATATTTAAAAAAAAAATTGAGGGTGGGCAAAAACTAGGCTGAATTCACCCCTATCCATAGTCTTGTGTTTGATTCTCATCAAATGATCACCTATTGTGGTCGATTCTTATCAAGTAACCACCTATTACTTTATACTTATTTGACCTGAATTGGCCACCAAAAAACCACCCCTAACAGCTGTCATGATAACGCAGTTGATAAAATAAATAATCAGATCTGCTCTCCCTTCGATTTTCAAAGGGTATTATTGTTCATAAAGTTTGGTCATGTAATAAATATTGCTGTCTTAAAAAAGAAAAAATACAATGCTGGAATCGGACAATGTTATTTATAAACTGAAGGCTTAATTATCATCATGATCTTGTGTAGCTTTCAATCAATTCCTTCATCAGTTGAACTTTCTCTAAAATGAAACAACTAGTCACAGCTTCTCCAAGTTTTTCATGGCTTCCACCACCCCAATTCTGGTTTAATGTGAGTTCATCTCTATTATTATTATTATTATTTTATTATTATTTTCATTTAAAAAAAAGTTTTTACGTATTATTCAGGGCGTAATCAAGATTTTATGTTGGTTTGGACTATATTAAAATTATTTTAACAAAATGCTTATGGGTGTTGTACTAAATACAGCTTTATAGTTTAACAAAGAACATAATATCATTTATATAATAATAATAAGTAGACATACCTAAAACCCATATTAATGGAGTGTTGCATAATAATTTAATTAATTTAACAATGTTTCACGAAGTGAAACTAAGTTATTTGATTTTTGTTCTTATGTAAAAATAAAATAGCTATCAATGAAGATGACTTATGATAAAAAGTCATTATATTACAAAAAAGAAAAAAAGAAAAAGATCAGAATTCTCTCCTAACAGAGTTTTTTTATTTAAACAAAGAAATTAATTAATCCTTCAAAGTTTATACAAGTTGGTAAATTATTTTATACTTATTCGATATCAAATTCAATAGAAGGCAAATCTGAAGAAGCTGTCACATTCCAAATCCATAGCTTCGGAAAAGGTTGAATTATTCAAATCAATAGAAAACTAGGAAAGAGATAGCATTTTGCCTCTACTAATTAGGTTACTATAACTTATCCAAAAACTTTGAAATTAAAAGAACAGTGCTTCAAATTTAAAAGAAGTGAGCTTAGATATATTATATCCGAAACCATAATCTTTCTCCCAAAGATGAACCATGAGTCGGATAAAAACAATGATATAATTAATTTAAAATTTTAAATTAAACCTTATCTAATCTATTTAATTTGCTCTATATAATCTCACAAACACCACCATCAAACATCACTCTACTCAGCTAATAAATTTTCAGTTTTTGTATTTAACCATGAAGGAACTTTCATCGCCATCTTGTTCTCCTTTTTGCTTTATCTGGAGTCAGTGCCTCCAGAGTCAGTGCGGTTGATGCAGTCACAATTTCCTTTAAAGTATTTCATATTTTAAAGATTATATTATTTGATAATTCTTTTATCTATACCAATGAAATCAAATTTTGTTACAAAGTATATATATTTTTTTAAACTTCTATATTTTGAAATTGAAAACCTCTCACTGAAGTTTCATAAACTTGTGACAAATTACATGAAGTTTTTAATAAAGCACTGAAATAAAGTAAACATAAAATCAAGACAATTTTATGATAGTAATTTACATGAAAAACTTTATTAAATATTTAATTACATATTTAATATGTGTTAAATCTTATTGACTTTAACAGTATAAATTCATCATCAGATAAAAGGAGGATGAAGCCATGATTTTGATTGATTTTTAATCTGCCACCCAACAATAAATTTAATTGGGTTTTATCAAACTTGTTAATTTCGAATTGAGGAAATCCTAATTTTCTTTTTCTTATAAACACTCGATTGGATTTAAAATAAAAAAAAAATAAGACGTCTTCATTTGAACAAATTCAGATTTTTTTTTTTCAAGAGGGCTGAAAATTATTTCAAGTATATATAAACAATTATCAATCTTGATGATAAACCCCACCCCCCCCCACCGCGCCGCCCCCCCCCCCCCCCCCCCCCCCCCCCCCCCCCAAAGCCGGATTCGGCGTCGGACGGATTCGTAGAACAAGTTAAAGAATTGAGGGAGAGAGCAAAGGAAATTCCTGACGATTATTTGGTTGCTATAGTTGGCAATATGATCACAGAAGAAGCCCTTCCAATGTATCAGTCAAGAGTCAGTAGCACAGAAATTTATCGTGATGAAACCGGCAGAGACGACACTCCATGGGCGATTTGGAGTAGAGGTTGGAGTGCTGAAGAGAATCGCCATGGAGATCTTCTCAATAAGTATCTCTATCTTTCAGGAAGAATTGACATCAAACAAGTGGAGAAGACTATTCAGTATATGATTGCTTCAGGAACGGTAAGATATCCATGCAAAAATATAAATTATTTTCTCGTACAAACTTGATCTGGATTTCAGGACGTCAACATGTGAAAACGTTTAAAGATATATCTAATTTATTTATTAAGAATTTTATTGATAGATAAATTTAACATTAAAAATTAGATCAATTATATGTTGTTATAATGTTCATATAACACATAGGGGGCGTTTGGTTGGCAGTAATGTGAGATTATTGGGGTAATGTCATCTGATATTATTTGATTACCACGTTTGGTTGTCAAGTAATATAAGATTCCGGTAATCTTAAAATACCAATAGTAGTTACTATTGGTAATATTGGAGGTAATCTGATTACCTCCATTTTCTTAGGTATTCTGATATTACCAGGGTTATCCTTTTTTGTTACAATTTTATCCTTTATTAAGGAAAATTTTGGACAATAATGCCCTCATTTTAAAATAAATTTACATTAATATCCTATTTCAATTTTACCCTTGTTTAACTAAAATTTTGGACAATAATGTCCTTGTATTTAAAACAATTTACAGACCACTACCACTCAGTTGCCACCACCACTGCCACCTAGCCACCACTGCCTACAGCGGCCAAACACCACGGACCGCCATGGAAAACTTGCCGGAATCCCTAAAAAAGAACGAGTTTCGGTGGGAGGCTCCGAGAGTCATCGATATGGCCGTTTTTGGCCATATTGATGGCCGAAAACCGCCAGATCTAGCCGGAAATAGCTAGATCTATTCTGGCCATTTCTGACCAGATATGGGTGAGATCTGGCCGTTAACGGCCAGATCTATTCCGGCTGAAATAGATTTGTCCGTTAACGGCCAGATCTCGCCCAGATCCACCGATCTGGTCGAAAATGGCTAGAATAGATCTGGCCATTTCCGGCCAGATCTGGCCTGATATGGCCGTTTTCTGCCATCAGTATGGCCGGAAACGGCCATATCGAAGCCTCTTAGTCACAGTGAGTTGCTGATTGGGACTTTCAGAGACTTCCGACGGTGGTCTACGGTGGCAGCAGGAGGTGGGGGTGATTTCGTAATAAATTAAAGTTTTATATAAGTAAGGGTGTTTTAACTAAATCTAAAATATTGGGGGTTAAAAGAAATTATTCAAAAATTAATAATAAAAATAATATTATATTAATATTTGTAAAGGGGACAATTTGGTAATTTAAATAACATACCCACCAATTTATTCCCCACAACCAACCATATTAATATAACATACCCACCAACTAACCAAACACATTTTCTTAAAGATTCCCAATAATCTTTCAAGGTAATCTATCTTTCCAGTAATCCAACATTCCCAGTAATCTAACATTCCTAGAATGAACCAAACGCCAGGATATAACAATATATAATTGATCATAATATTAATACTTAAATCAAAGCTAATTATTCTCTTTTTCTAGCAATCACCCCCAGCAATATTTTTGTACTAACAATATTCATCTAAAGAAATTATATATAAGTTGATATTATTTAAGAAATAATAATAATTCAGTCTTCCCAAAATAATTAAATTCTAGGTGTTTTTGCCCCTGGTGATATTATTTTGCAATTATTTATTTATTTATTTATTTCTGGTATTAGGATTTTGGCTTTGGACACAACCCTTACCATTTTACAGTTTATACATCAGTGCAAGAGAGAGCATGTATTGCTCATGGCAACACAGCCAAACTTGCCCTGCAACATGGAGACTCAAAGCTAGCTCAGATTTGTGGCACGATTGCTTCCAATGAGAAGCACCACGAAACTGCTTATAGCAGGATTGTCGGGAAGCTCTTCGAGCTCGATCCTACCGAAGCAATGGTGGCATTTGCTGACATGTTGAAAATTAGAATGATCATGCCAGGAGATTCAATGTACAACGGTCGGGATGAGCACCTGTTCGATCATGTTTTGAACGTTTTAATGCGAATTGGAGTGTACACAATCACGGATTATATCAATGTTTTGGAACATTTTGTGGGTGTTTGGAATGTCGACAAACTTGAGGGGCTTGCAAGTGAAGGAAAAATTGCTCAGGATTATGTTTGTGGATTGCCTGAAAGGTTGAGAAAAATGGAGGAAAGAGCCCTAGCTCGGGCTAAACAAACACCTGCAATTCCATTCAGTTGGGTTTTCAATAAAGAAGTGTAGCTAAATTAATAGTTGAGGTTGTTGATTATAATTACTACATTAGGTAAGGTAAAAGAAAATAAGCATTTTACGACACTTCAACTATATCCGGCTTCAGATGAATGTAACTTAGATCGCTATAATAAGGTTTACATGTACTGTCTAATAAATTTCACNCCAAAAACTTTGAAATTAAAAGAACAGTGCTTCCAAATTTAAAAGAAGTGAGGCTTAGATATATTATATATCCGGAAACCATAATCTTATCTCCCAAAAGATGAACCATGAGTCGGATAAAAACAATGATATAATTAATTTAAAATTTTAAATTAAACCTTATCTAATCATATTTAATTTGCTCTATATAATCTCACAAACACCACCATCAAACATCACTCTACTCAAGCTAATAAAATTTCAGTTTTTGTATTTAACCATGAAGGGAACTTTCATCGCCATCTTGTTCATCCTTTTTGCTTTATCTGGAGTCAGTGCCTCCAGAGTCAGTGCGGTTGATGCAGTCACAATTTCCTTTAACGTATTTCATAGTTTAAAAGATTATATTATTTGATAATTCTTTTTATCTATACCAATGAAATCAAATTTTGTTACAAATAGGTATATATATTTTTTAAACTTCTTATATTTTGAAATTGAAAACCTCTCACTGAAAGTTTCATAAACTTGTGACAAATTACATGAAGTTTTTAATAAAGCACTGAAATAAAGTAAACATAAAATCAAGACAATTTTATGATAGTAATTTACATGAAAAACGTTATATTAAATATTTAATTACATATTTAATATGTGTTAAATCTTATTGACTTTAACTAGTATAAATTCAATCATCAAGATAAAAGGAGGGATGAAGCCATGATTTTGATTGAATTTTTAATCTGCCATACCAACAATAAATTTAATTGGGTTTTATCAAACTTGTTAATTTCGAATTGATGAAATCCTTAATTTTCTTTTTCTTATAAACACTCGATTGGATTTAAAATAAAAAATAAAAAATAAGACGTCTTCATTTGAACAAATTCAGATTTTTTTTTTTTCAAGAGGGCTGAAAATTATTTCAAGTATATATAAAACAATTATCAATCTTGATGATTAAAAAAAAAAAAAATGTATTAATGAAAAATTACATTTGGTACGATGCAACTTTCCCCAAAAAAAAAAAAAAAAAAATTATATTTTTTCTGCAGGATTTTGGCTTTGGAGGCAACCATTATCATTTTACATTTTATACATTAGTGCAAGAAAGAGCAACATTCATAACTCGATGGCAAAACAGCAAACTTGCCCCGCAACATAGAGAGCCACAGCTAGCTCAATTGCTCAAATCTATGGCACAATCGCGTCTGATGAAAACCGCCGCAAAACCACTTATAGCAGGATTGTTGGGAAGCTCTTCGAGCTCGAACCTATAGAAGCAATGGAGGAAAGAGCCCTAGGGCTAACCAAGCACCTACAATTCCATTCAGCTGGGTTCTTAAAAGAGAAGTGTAGCTAAATTATGAACGGAATAGAGACTAATACGACATCAAGATAACAGTAAACACACAAACACAAACANTACATAATTACCCCAAGTTATTTAAACAGATCTCATTATAATTCATCGTCAATGAAATATAATCTAATAACTTCATATCTCTAGAATATAAGAAAATCAAACAGTACTTCATATCTAAAAAAAAAAGGGAGAAGAAAAGAAAGGCCAAACGACTTACGCATACCCAAGGTTTGTCAAAATGACAAGTTGGTACCCAGAAGGTTTTAAAACGATAAATATGTACCTTTTGTCATGTTCTGTTAGTGATTTTTGTTTGATAATAGTGAAAAGACTAAAATGTCTTTGAAAGTTTAATATTTTAGTTTTTTGTAAATTTAAAAATTTCTAAAAAACCCCCTAGGTTTGCTAATTTGACTAAATACCCTAATATATAAAAATTTTATAAAATAACAAAAACACCACCGCCACCCGCAATGCCAGATTCCGGCCACCACGACCGGAATCTGGCCAGAAAATTGTGTTACGACATAGACTCGTTAGATCTGTGTCGTAACGCGTCGATCTGGCCTTTTCTGACAAACCTTCTAGATACCAACTTATCGTTTCGGCAAACCTTGGGTATGTGTAAGTCGTTCTCCCAGAAAAAAAAACCTAAACCAATTATATATGAAACTTAAATCATTACTCAAAATAATTTTTTTTGCTGGTGAAAGCCTCGAGATGTCTCTACACTCGAAGGTATGAGACTAATTTGTGATTGGGGCTTGGGTAAATGCCCTGGCCACAAGTTGCTACCAGTGAAATTTGAACTCCTAACACTATAGGTAAACCTGGCAAACAGACGGGTACAGGTCGGATAGCAACGGGTCACGGGTGAAACGGGCACGGGTCCATGGATAATTTTTTTTTTTTGTACGGGTAGCCATATGCATGACCCGCACCCCGCCCATATGAGCATGGGTCAACCCGCGGGTCACCCGCATAAAATGATTTTTGTTTTTTCCCAATTATCAAATTTTAGCAGCATAAACATTAATTCAACAAGACAAGACCAACTAAAATATACAATAATTTAATAAATTGTTCCTAAATGAGCAATAGATATATACATAAGCGATAAGAAAAAACTTCAAATCAACAAATAATAAAAGCATCCCACAAGCGATAATCTCATAATAGTAAAACTCATCCAATTCTGAATGGTCTCTCACATTTCAATAAACAAAATTGAACTAACCGAAACAAAAACAAACAAAACCCTAGAACTCACTGCCATAAATTTTGGTTTGGTGACAAATATTGGGTTTTGCAGGTTTTAGATTGGGCGTGAGGGTTCTGGTTTTGGGTGAGGTGGCTGCGTGAGAGAGATCAGAGACTGCAGCAAGAGAACTCGAAATTTTGTGATTGAGAGAAATGGCTGGGCGTCGGCGTGCAGGATGGCTGCGTGAAGGAGAAATGGCGAAATGGGCGACTGCCGACTGGAGAGATGGCTGCATGTCTGCGTGACAAAGATCAGAGATGGCTGAAAAATTGTGCGTGGGCTAGGAGCTGTAAGAAAGAAGGAAGATTGATGAAGAAAGAGAGACAAAAAGAGGTGTGGACTGGTGGAGTTTAATGGAAGATGACAGAACTCACAGAGGCATTGATGAAGAAAGAGAGAGAAAAAGAAGGGTGGCGTGGGGTTTAATGAGTAACGATGGGTGATGGCTGAGCAGCATGAGAGAGAAATGTTTTTCGGTTTTTGAATTTTTTTAAAAGTAAAATGCGGGTGGCCGCGGATATCACCCGGTCCGCCCGTTATTTTCACGGGCAGACCGGGTACGGGTCCATTTATATGGGTTGAATGATGGTCTACCCGTATCCGCCGTTGGATGTGGGTGCCCGTTTATCCGCGGGTACAAGTAGTGTTTTGCTAGGTTTAATTGTAGGTAAAGTTCGCCTACTGATAATCCAATTGTCCTCAGCATCCAAGCTAGTTTGGTCTTTTCCAAAGAAAATAAGTAATACCCACATATCAAAATTGACTTTTATGTGAAATATTTTTGTTTTAGAGTTAGAAAATAAGTAATACCCACATAACAAAAGCAGGGAGTGAAATTAATTATTTCTTTAAAATAACAATAAAAGAAAAGAGGAAGAAAAGTTAAGGATTTCATTGTGACTTTAAAAATATTTGGGTATATTGACAATATACAATTTCAAGGGGCATTTTTTATTTGCAAAAGGTTTTCAAAAACCTAAAGCCCGGTCTAGCCCACTCTATGGGCCACCCCTGAATTCTAGAGAAATATTTATTTGTTTTTTCATAAATGATTTGATTGTTGTCTAACATTAATTATCTTGTGATATAAAGATAGGGATATTATCATAAGCTGCCTTAAGGTTTGTGTTTCTATCATGTGAAGAATAACTTTGGCAATTTTTATCAAAGATATCCCTTAGGGGGCGTTTGGTTTAGGAAATATTGGATTATTGGAAAGTTAGATTACCTTGAAGATTACTAAGAATCTTTAGGAAAATGTGTTTAGTTAATTGGTGGGTATGTTATATTAATATGTTTGGTTGGGAGGAATAAATTATTGGATATGTTATTTAAATTACTGAATTGCCCTCTAATTAAATATTATTATTCTATTATTTTTTAATATTGATTAGTAGTTGGATTATTATAACCCTTGCATTTAAAATTTTAGTAAAAACAACCCTATAATAAAAGTTTGAAAAATCAACAAAGCACCCCCATCAACCCAGCCATTGCTGGCTGCCAGCAACCACCGTAGGCGGTGCCAACCAGCAATAGCTGGGTTGATGGGGGTGCTTTTTTGATTTTTTAAACTTTTATTATGCGCCAGTTGACAACCTAACTACGCACGAAAGGCAGGAAATTGATCTCTGGTTGGAAATGGCTAAATGTGACAGATCTGGCTATTAACGGTCATAGACATAGTCATTAATGGTCATCGATCTGGCCATTGTTGGCCAGGTTAGATTTGGCCGAAAATGACCATATCGGAGCACGGTGGCCATTTTCGGCCTTTCGTGCGCTATTCCGACAACGGCGGCGGTTACTAGTGGCAGGTGGGTGGGGTGGCGGCTTGGGTGGGCTACAATTTGTTTTGAATTCAAGGGTAATTTTGTCGGTTGCATGTTTTGTAACACAACTACAATTTTTTTTTTGAAAAGGATTTCATAAACGTTTCAATCAAACTCTATGTAGCATAATTAACCATCCAATTAACAGTTCAATACTGCTTTTGCTTAAGAAAAATTAAAGACCTAAAAGTATGAAATTAAACCCATTGAAAGTACATACATTTTGTGAAGAAGTTTAATCAACCAAATAAGTTCTTTTTTGTAAGAGTAATGTTACAGTTATCGAAGGATGTATACCGAATTCATACATCAAATAACTTAATGAAATCCTGAACATTGATTCATTATAAGTTAATATTAATCAACGGTCAGAATTTTACCACGTCATTCGGTGTATGAACTCGGT